TACTTAAGGCGTAAAGACTTGGCAATGAATGCATGAGTGGATGGAATGTCCTTTGTCTACGCAAAGAAGGCACTTTACATGAACACTGCTCACACCACTTGAAGCAAGTGAAATGACTTGAAAGCGGGAATCGTTGAAACACAAGTTTGGAACGGAGGAAGCTCTCGTCAAAGGATAAAGCAGTCCAAATCATAGAACAGGCAAAGTGTGAAGAACTAATGAGTTTGAATAACAAAGGTTTCTGAACCAGCTGCAGCGTAGACTAAAGGAACTGAGGGGTTTGGTGGCAACCAGGCCTTATATAGCCCCTGGATAGTGAACAGGATTACCGCCAAAGCTTTCTTCCACCTAGTGATTCTAGAAGGTTCCTGCGCTTGCGCAGATTACCTAATTGTATAATTCAGAGACTACGAAGAAGAATCAACATAAGCAAGGAGTGTGCTGTTTTATGGATCACAGAATTAATGGGGGAAAGGTAAATGGGAAAATTAGTTTTCAACAAATCCTACAAATTGAGAACATAAATTATCAATACCAAGCACACACAGACATAACGTCAACTATTAAAAAATTAAATCATTATGCATTGCTGACTTTATGGGTAATTTTTATAATTATTATTTAATTATGTCCTTGTAGTAACATTCCAGAGACTAACGTGAGTTATGACAATTCCCCAAGTCTGGTGGGGATGCAGTCAAGTTTCAGAGTATAGACTTTATACTGACAGTTTGTTGTGAAAATTCACACTATGTTTATACCTAATCAAACTGTCTTTATACTGAAGAGACATTTGGCAGATGAGGTCAGATGGTCAGAAGGTATCTTATGGTTTATAGTTTAGCAAAATAAGCAAGTGATCTATTATTACACTTTACTTTGATGACATCACCACGCTTGAGAAAGGGACAAAAAGATGGGTTGTTGTAGGTTTTTCCAGGCTATATGGCCATGTTCTGGAGGCAATTTTTCTCCTGACGTTTCGCCTGCATCTATGGCAAGCATCCTCAGAGGTAATGAGGTCTGTTGGAACTAGGAAAAATGGGTTTATATATCCTATATATTTTTCCTAGTTCCAACAGACCTCATTACCTCTGAGGATGCTTGCCATAGATGCAGGTGAAACGTCAGGAGAAAAATTGCCTCCAGAACATGGCCATATAGCCCGGAAAAACCTACAACAACCCATGGATTCTGGCCATGAAAGCCTTCGACAATACATTGGACAAAAAGATGTTAAGAATAGGCAACAGAAGTGGTTAATTTATCAAAAGTCTTAAATATGGGCTGACCTAAATGGGAGACAGCAATTCCAAAGACAAATAGAAAGATTCGGCTAAAACAGGTTATCTAGTTCATAAAGATGGGTGAAATTATATCAGAACAAGACATTTTACCATTTAGTAGGCAAAAAACCTACTGTGTGTGAAATGCTGAAGTATTTGTACCCTAGAATCCTGCACTAGGAGAAATGTGGTATATTAAATCAAGTAATAAATTAAACGAAGTCTCGTCATTGGCCCTTCATCTGCTCTGGCTCTTCTTAGAACATCAAAAATTTAGTTAAGACAAGTTTAAACAACATGCAAAGAGGAAAATAGAAACAGGGGTTTATTTTTTAAGATGGGAAGCAGTAACATCTTATCAGCTGTTAATGTCATTTGAGGGAATTAGCATATTGTGGTTACTGCAGCTTTTTTTTATATATGTTGAAATTTTTTTGTTAGAATTTGGAGATTCCATAATTAGCTTGAAACAGCTGTATTGGTGTGTTCTTTGTGATCTATTTCTCCCAAGTGCTTTGAGAGTTTCTTACACTTCATTTTCTAAAATTGTGGATTCATCAAGATTCTTCCTTGAAGGAATTATCTTTTCATATAATTCTGTGTACTGCTTCCACCATCCTTTTATTTCATCCTGATCATAGAATGGGCTGCCCTGTTCATCATATAGCATATTTATCTGTACTAATAATTCCCTTTGTCTGACTGAACTACCAATGTTCAGGATTGCGACTTTTGTTTCCGCCACCTTTCATTTCTGTTTGTCCAAGTATTTGCGCACCGGGATTGTGGCGCAGCTGGCTGAGTGTCAGCTGCATTAAGATCACTCTGACCAAAAGGTCATGAGTTCGAAGCCAGCCCGGGTTGGAGTGGGTTTCCAACCATTGTGTAGCCCGTTGTCGACCTTTGCAACCCGAAAGACAGCTGCATCTGTCAAGTAGGAAAATAAGGTACCACCTTAAAAGGGAGGCTAAAATTAACTAATTTATGAGGCCATAAAGAAGCACTCCAGCGGGGAAGCATGCAAGGAATGCCGAGGTACTTCATCAGCATTGCAGATGGACGATGAAAGCGACAGCTCCCCTGGCGGCCAGAAAAAGTTAAATAGCCTCTGTGTAAGTCTGTATGTCTGTACGTCAAAATTGGCATTGAAAGTTTGCCATATATATGTACACTGTAATCCGCCCTGAGTCCCCTGCGGGGTGAGAAGAGCAGAATATAAAAGCTGTAAATAAATAAATAATAAAATAAATAAATATCTATCACTTCATTTATATCCCCCCTTTCTCCTAGGCTTATGTTCTCAAGTATTTGAAGAGTTTTACCTGTCATTCAATGAAGCTTCTTCTTTTTGGCTAGAGGCAGATTTTGCATTCATCTACAGTCTATTTGAGTTATGTTTTGACTATCTAGTTAAATTAATGTATTGCCCAAAAGGTGTGTGAGCAATGAACAAATGTATTGTTGAAGGCTTTCATGGCCGGAATCACTGGGTTGTTGTAGGTTTTTCGGGCTATATGGCCATGTTCTAGAGGCATTCTCTCCTGACGCTTCGCCTGCACCTATGGCAAGCATCCTCAGAGGTAGTGAGGTCTATTGGAAGTAGGAAAGTGGGTTTATATATCTGTAGAATGACCAGGGTGGGGCAAAGAACACCTAGCTCCAACAGACAAGAGTTCTTTGCTCCACCCTGGTCATTCCACAGATATATAAACCCACCTTCCTAGTTCCAATAGACCTCACTACCTCTGAGGATGCTTGCCATAGATGCAGGCAAAACATCAGGAGAAAATGCCTCTAGAACATGGCCATATAGCCCGAAAAAACCTACAACCCAATGAACAAATGGCCTCACAAAATTCTTTTAAGTTGCTCTCCTTCATAATTTCATGACCCTAACAGTTGTTCTTAACCTGTGGGCCACGGACCACCAGCAGGACATGAGAATGAAAATCTGGTCTGTGAGCTTCCTTCCTCTTTTATTTTTTATTTCTGCTCCTTTCGCGCCACCTGCCACTCCTTCCATGTCATTGATCATGGTATATGTTCTGTATCAGATACTAGAGCTGATGTGGTCTATCCAATGCAATTTTCTGAATCAGCACCCCAATCTAAAGTGGACCAAAAACTGATTCGTAAGCCTTTCGATACTAATGTTGGAGAGTAGTCCCTAGTCAAAAAAAGGTTGGGAACCATGCCCTAGAACAAACTTTCTAAGAACATTTGGTTCTGCTCTACTTGTTCTGCTCACTCCTATTCTTTAGTTCTTTTACAACTTACCTGTAAGCCTTCTGAACCATTTGCAACCACTGATGAAAATTTGCTGGAAGTGGTCTTTCCTGTCACTCTTCCTTCTGTGAGACGGGCTAATGAAGTCACCACTCTTCATTTGGATGCACTGTTTTTGGTTTTCCATAGTGACACAATGGTTTCACAACCAGACATCTTTTCTTCTGAAAGTTGTCTCACAATTTTCTCTCAATGAAAGTATCATCCTTCTGGGTAAGAAAAGCCCCTTAATTGTATTGGCATATGCAGGGTGCTTACCTTTTATATTCAATGCACTGCATCCTTTCATCAGACTAACAGGGTTTTTATCTGTTATCATGGACTTCCAAAAGGATATCAGGTCTCCTTACCAATATTCTCTAATTGGGTGGTCCAGACTATTAGATTTTTGTATTAGCTGGCTAATTGACATATATCAGAATGCACGAAGGCTCACTCCACCAGGGCAATGGCATCTTCTGCTCCTTTGCTTCAGGAGCTCCGCTTCCAAACTCATGCACTTATGCAATGTAGTCATAGTTTTCTACATTTACACAACATTATGGACTAGACTATAGAGCTCAAGTGGATGCTCAGTACTTACTGTGTGTGTTGTGCAGCTTCAGACATTCTTTTCATATGTGATCATGTCAGCCGTTGAATATTCTTTAGCTTGAATCCAGTTGTATCATTTAATAGCACTATACTCATCCTCCACTTTTTTAATTCATTACTTTTTTGAACATGAATATGCAGAAATAAATTATCATTTAGAAACAAAATCTTCAAAACACAAATGGCTCCAAATTATTTCCTTGGGCAATTTACAAAATAAAATTATAAAAGTAACTTTTATTGATCACCTCAAATTTTAATATACAGCTTAAGAATGTGGAAGAATAGAAGGAACTAGATTTCAAGACAAACCTGAATTTACTACCAGTGACATATTAAAGGTCTGGAATCTCCAATAAATGTGCCAAAGTGCATTTCACCTAAATCACTAACTACTGGAATGCTACAATAGCTAGTGATTTAAGTGTTGCTATAAAACAGACTGAAAATGTTCCCACACTTTGGAATCAAGGCATTCTAATGACATATTTGAACTTTATTACTATACCAGTAGTAGTCTTTGAAAAACACTTTTAACGGTTCTAGAAAAATTACTTTTTTGAACATGAATTAGATAGCACCCAACCTGTAGAAAACGGCACTCCTTGTTTTCTGCATGTTTGATTAGTCTTCTTATAGATTCATAAATAATAATCAGATTCACACTAGCAAATTAAGGTTGAAACAATGAAGTAATGGTAGATCCCATTTGGCCCACACAAAAATCACATACATATTTAACTAATTATGTTTTAATAGGACATAGCAAACCTCAAAACTAAACACAGAATTCAGAAATCTGAGCTGGCAAAAAAGAGACAAGAATACTAAAGAGCATTTTCCACCATTTACTCTCATTATCAAAAATATTTTCAACTCTTCTTGCAAAACAGAAACAAAAAAATACATACTGAACACTTACATCACATTCTTCTTCCTATGGCTTTAACCCCCCCCACCCTGTCCTACCCACAGAAAGACAGGGGAAAAACAAACCTGAAAGCCAACAAAACGCTATTTGACCACATTCACATAAAATGACACCATGGTACACTACAGAACAAAAAGGAGACATCATTGAATTGGTGCCAAAACCTTTTGTTTACTTTTCAGACCTAGTACCCACCATTGTACATGCTTTGTGCCAAATCCAAAGTGTATGATGTCATAATTTACTATAAATGACACTTAGTGAACAATTAGATGGCAAATATAATGACTTTCAGAAAATGTGACATTACTAATCTCAAAACAACTACTGATTCAGATTAGGACATGGAGGGCAAATCCAATGCTATGTTAGCTGACCTATGCTCACATAACAGGATTTCTTCTCCTCTTTATCCTCGGCAGCTTCCCAAAATATGTCCCAAATGATCTTCCAACCACTGGGAAACGATTGTGAAATACCATTATGGGCTGTAGAGGAGGTTTGCCCTCCCTGTTCTACTGACAGAATCTATTCTACTGATGCAAGAAGCTAGTTGGATTAAGCCCAGTCTTTTCTAGTCAGTCGCATCTTTTATTCAAAATTAGGAATATTAGTACTTGACAGACATTTCAACAAAGAGTTGATTTAAACTATATTTTCCAGTTTCGAGTTTGTGTCTTCTCACAATTTAAATCAGTGATGAGGCAGATGAAATCTTAAATGTTAGGGAAGAGATGGAGCAGCCCTTCTGGGATCCAAGTATAACTGCATACCAACCACATCAGTTCCATCTTTGGTATACCGTTGCTATTCCAGCCATGGCTGAAGTGCAGCACTTCATTCAGCCAAAGCCCTGCTGTGCCTCATCACTATGTGTTAAAGCATGCTCCAGAGTAAGAGCAGTACAAGATACTAGCCTGGAACAGCAGCAGGGTTTTGAAACAGCTAAATTATAATGCACACAGCAAAATAATGTCTTGGTAACTTTGGCATGAGAATGATATTGTAGCCTACCAATCTACCATCAAAATATACAACATTTATTCTAATAACCAATTGAGCAGTAAGTTTAAGATCAATATTAATAGTATGACACATTGTGAAACATATTGCTGGCTTTTAAACTGCAAGCTTTTGTCTAAACGTTTGAAAATGTATATATATTTAAAATATCCCAAGAAGCTGCTTCATCACAAAAGAACTCTGACAATTATTTTCAAAACAGAAGGTAAAATACTTGAGAAATCTAAGAGACATAAAGAGAAAGTAGTGCTTGGTTTGACCATTTTATATTAGTTGGAAACTTATATTTTTCATTTTTGGTGAGAAATTTAAGGTATTATTAATTTTGCTGTCCACAAGTAATATGGTATAAGATAATTGTTTACATTTTTTGATATTTCTGGCATGAGCAAAGTGGTATTTTTTTCTTCAAGTCTGACAATAAATATGGCTACATTATAAATTAGCAGAACTAAGATGGACTGACTAGATACTATTTCTGTATATTTCATCAATCTCTGATTGAGCACAAAGCACGAACTGGTACAAGGTCAGTGTTTGCCAAAAAAAAAGTCATTTTGTATTTAAAAAATCATTTACATTAGCATTTGATCTGAAACTATGAGGTGCTTTAAGAACTAAAGACAGTTTCAGGGTAACTCTGTAATTACCATCAAACTATTTCCCAGACACTAACACACAACATAGCAATGAAAAACACTTGATACAAGTGATCTATTTGCAGGAGCTCCGGCAAGTTAAACAGAACCATAGCTGCCTTCAAAATTGTAGCAACCCCCCTACCAAAGGCAGGAGAGAATGTTTAAAAAAGGGAGGGAAAAAAGGTGAGGGGAGAAAAACTCAGCAGTCATATCTGATGTCTATCACTTCATCCAAGTTCTTATCATCGTTTGTACTGGCAGCTAAAAATGTAGTTACTGGTGACCCTGTCACATTAATTACACTGGTACTTGTGCTGGCATTGCGAACAGCAATGCTTGTCACATTAATGCCCAGAGTAAGCCTCGTCTGTTCCAAGGCCTTTTCTGGCACAGCAAATGCCTCCAGTTTCTTTTCCCCATTAGCCATATATGAATTTTGGCAGCCACGGCATATGCAGTCTAAGCAGGCCTTTCGGTTTGAGTAGCAAGGGCAGCGTTGGCCACGACATGTAAGAACACTTGGATTTTGGGTGGCTCGGCCACATTTACACCCTTTCTTTTCTTGTGTCTTTTTATACACAGTTTTTGTTGGACTTCCTGGAGTAACGTGGCTACTAGGATTTTTTTCTTTTGACTTTGTTTTCAGCATTCCTGATTTGGATTTAGAATGAGATTTCTTGGTGGGATGATCTAGGTTCTTTTTCATGCTTTTATTTGATAACAACACGGTTTTGCTGTTTTTAGGTGTAGTGCCTCCATTGGGTACAGTTGCTATAGGCTGCAAAGACATCTTTGCCTCTGGTTTCACCATTACAGGAGCTGAGGCGCCCAATGTTGGGCCACACAGGATGCTGGAAATAGGAAGGGGCTGAACCCTTTCACTGTCACTTTCTGATCGTGATCGTTTTCTATTTAATTTTACTACCTTAGGTGTTGCAGCTGTACATGAAATCCCATGAGGTGAAGAACCCATTGACATGAGCAAGTTATGATTTGGAGGTGGGGGAGGAGCCTGCAAAACAGGACCATTGGATAAATTGGTTTCCACATTGTGCTGCAAAGAAGGACTGCAGACTGTTGGGGTAGAGTCCAAGCTCTGTAGCACTTCTTCAACACTAAGTAAAAGAGGATCACTAGACTTGACATCTTCACTCGAACTGTGAATTCTTGTTGTACACAAGTCACTAGAAGAAACTATGTCACAGACAGGTTCAAGGTTGCTAGAAATATCATCAGTTTTCATGTACTGTTCAGAACTACACACACTGACTGTATTTGAATGTTCAAGAGAAGGAATATTTGCTTCAACTTTCTCTGCTGATAGCCCATTACAATTGGGCAATCCATTAACAGCAGAGTCTTTCACATCAGAGTCTTGTGTGCTTTCAGTTACAGAAGAGCTACTTGCTGGCGGTTCAGGCTCTGAGGCTGGAGGAGATGGGGAACGTGTTAAACACAATGCTGAAGGTTCATCAGATGTTTTTTCTGCATCCTCATCAAGTGGGGAGCCATCTTTAAGCAAAGTCAAAAGATCCGGAGATGTGTCAACAGCTTGCTTAATATCCCGGGCTAATGGTGTTTGTGTTATATACTCACAAAGTTTTTTATAGCAATTCACTAGAATGCTTAACTGTTTATTTTCTTCAAATTGTTCATAGTCCTTGCACCAACTACATGAAGGCTTCATCATCATCTTCTTGCCTTTACAATTCTTGCAGACATAATGCTGACAAGTAGAGTTGGTAGGTGCAATTGGATCTTGTAGAAGATTTCCTAAGAGAAAAAAGGAAATTATTATAAAACCAGAAAGACTTTACTGTAACAGTAGTTATATTTGATAAAATATATTTGGCGGTGTCATAAGCCAACAGGCAGAGATTGTTGATGGGGGCATAAATTGCACACAGAGCAAAGGATAGACTAATGCTCCTTTGTTTGCTGGCTAATTTTCTATGCTCATAGTCCCAAACTAAATAGACAGACACATTGTATTTTTTTAAACTTTTGGCATAATAGTAGTATTTTTAAAAAGCAATTTATTATAATAACAAAGACAAAAAATGAAGTACAGAATTTAAAACATAAGACAAGGAAATCTGGATTCTAGCAATTTATCTCAGAGATGATACAGAAAAATATCATGGCAAAGACATTTAACTGGGATGCTTTCCCACCAGCCTTATAGAACAGCAGCTATTGTTTGCCAATCATCGGAGTTACTCTTGCAGAATTCTGGGAAATGTAGTTTGGGGCAGAACCTTTGGAATTCTCAGCTAGAAAGATCCTCAGCTTCCCTAAACGACATTTCCCAGAATTCTAGAAGATCAGATCAGACAATAGCCTCCATTCTACAACGTTGATCAGAAAATATCCTTAACTATATTTTAAAAGGTGACTATTTGAACCCTCCAAAGTGTTTGCTGTACATTCTCTGTCCCAATTAATGAAATTTTCTGGAATGTTTATGAACTGTTCTGATTCTTGTGCACAAATGTCTATATTTGTTGCAAGGGTCTCAAAGTACAAAGGTGGGTTTCCACCACCCCAATATTAAACAGTTTTGTGTATACAAGAATGGTATAACGGAGAGCAGCAATGGGAAACAAACACAAATGTTTCATAAATAAAAGCACATCTGCAAGTGGTGCTCAACTTTCCCTTTCTTAAATATTACATAGTTTTTTAAAAGTGCTTTTTCATAAAAGTGCTTCATTGTGGATTTTAAGGCCAGAAGGCTTCAGATAAATTAAGAAATTAACATCCCTTAAACACTTCTTAGGCCAGCCTAAATGCAGCAACTTGTCCTTATATATCAACGTATGTTTACATTGTGATGGGAACCTTGTGGCCTACAAACATTATTTGACTGCAGCTTGCAGCATTCTTCACCTTCATTTTGCTAACGCTGCTATAAATTGTACTCCCAACAAGATCTAGAGGGTCACATGATATATACTCCTACTTTACTTCCTAGAAGGAGCCTCTGGTGGCGCAGTGGGTTAAACCCCTGTGCCGGCAGGACTGAAGACCGACAGATCACAGGTTCGAATCCGGGGAGAGGCAGATGAGCTTCCTCTACCAGCTCCAGCTCCTCATGCGGGGACATGAGAGAAGCCTCCCACAAGGATGATAAAAACATCATATCATCCAGACGTCCCCTGGGCAACGTCCAATTCTCTCCACACCAGAAGCGACTTGCAGTTTCTCAAGTCTCTCCTGACACGACAAAAAAAAACACACATACACACACACAAACTTCCTAGAAGTAGATTTAAGGAACATGGAGGTAAAGACAGGAGAGTGGAAATTGTAGAGGATTGCAATTATGCTGAATGCTCCTTTTTGTTCAAAATCAACTCTAAGTTTTTGTAGTATTGCCTTTCCTTCCTGATGTTTTATAAGAAAGAAAGTCATTCCTGAGCCTCTTGGTAGTTTCCCAACAACAGCATGTCATATATATATATATATCTGTGTGTGTGTGTGTGTGTCTATCTATCTATCTATCTATCTATCTATCTATCTATCTATCTATCTATCTATCTATCTACCACATGTCAATGGCAGGTTTAGAGGTCAAAATTATGGATTTTGATATGATCCAAGCATAAGTTGAGGATCATTTCACAAAGGGGGGAAAGTGGAAATGATGCCTCAAGGGACCAGCTGCTGACCCTTGTCTTCCTCTCACACTGACTGAATGTAATTTGTCCAAGGTCATTCAAGGGGTTTCATGGCCAAACATGGATTTGAATCTGGTCTCCAGTGTGGTTGGCCAATGTTCAGACCATACTTCTGGCCTGGCTTTCAGAAAGGACAAAAGTAGTAGTGCAGCAGAAAGAGTAAATGGGGGTAGTGCTTCTTAGGTTCTCGTGGGAAATCTTTTGATAAGTGTTAAAGTACAGGATAGGTCAACACAACTTTGGGAGGGATTTTTCTAACTAAAATTTCTAGACTTATGCACAAATATATGTAGCAAATGATTTAAAACATCATAGAAACTGAAATTCTGTTATTACAGGAAATTTTACTAGAACACATTTTTACAATGTAAATTGGCAATAGAACAATCAGTTAATAGGTAAAGGTTTTCCCCTGACATTAAGTCCAGTCGTGTCCGACTCTGGGGTGTGGTGCTCATCTCAGTTTCTAAACCAAAGAGCCGGCGTTGTCCGTAGACACCTCCAAGGTCATGTGGCCGGCATGACTGCATGGAGCGCCTTTCAGTTAATACAGGAATGCTATTTGCAGAACACAAACTCTTAATTGTCTACAGTATGATTCCATCTTGAGCATTCAAAATTGGCACCAATCCATACGTCAGCTCTTAAGTGGCAACCCCATCACTTCACATCTTTGCTGTTCAGTTCATCAACCATGTGGGTTTGTGGGATGAAGTAAGGTAAATGGAAAGAGGATGTGGGAATATTTGCAAAGGATGAAATGTTAAGCTGTGAGGTGGATGGAAGAAGAAGAAGGGATCTTTAGTACATTTGACTGCCACAGCAACTATTATTAATTGGTTTTTAAAAAACCTTTATTTATATCCTGCCACCATCTTCTCTCAGGGACTTGGGCGGCTAACATGAGGCAAGCCCGACAAATACAATAAACAAAATAAAATACATACAGCACATAATAACTCTAAGTACAAACAAGAAAGAAAAATAACACAGTGGGATAAAATTGTTTGAAATATCTGGAGGGCGGGAGAGAGAAGTCTCTCCACTTTTCAGAGAGAGTCTAAAACCTGCTCACTCCTTCTCAATTATACAAGTTACCATTTATGCTTATTATTAAAATGTATTAATTAAAATTGGAGGCAAATTGAATAACTTAGCTACCTGTAATATTTTTGAGATCAACACCTAACCTTAATGACATTTTAGTGCAATTTTCTGAAACGGGGACTTCTAAAGAAATGCAATTATTCCATCATAGCAGAACTTACTGTACAAAGTTGCCATTGCTGGGAAGATACAGAAGTAAATACCTGCCTAACTGGACTTCCACTCACTGTCTAAGGATACACTTGCTAGTCACAGCTCAAAGCCAGAAGTATACAGGCAATCCCTGAGATACAAACATCTGACTTAAACAATTCATAGTGGTGAAACAACAGGAAGTGAGATAATTCTACCCCTGAGAAGGGAAACACACTCCTGGAAGAGTTATCACGGGGAAAAGGTGCCTCAACGGAAGTTTTATCATCAATCCTTGTTTCCACAAAAAGTAAATTTTTCCAAATCCATTTATCACAGGTACAGAAAATGAGGTGAAATCTTCTAAGCAGAAGCACAGGCAGTAAAACAAACATCACAGGGGTAACCCTTCCCTATGCTATCCAAAGATAGATAGATTTGGCTGGAGTTACACTTAAAATATGTATTCGTTCCAGCTTACATACAAGAACAAACCTACAGAGCCTATCTCGTTTGTAACTTGGGGACTATCTGTACAAGAAACAAGAAAACAGAGGCAAACAGTCTGCCTATTCACTTGATTTATATTATATTTGTTCACTAAATTTAATGCCCAAGTTGGCTAACAATGAAATGTAAAGAGCAAATGTTATTTAAAGATCCAATGGTGATTTCAAATGGAAACAAGCAAGATAGAAAAAGATTAAAACTCATACCAAAACTTTAACTGTTTTATTTTTTCAGAGGGTGGGATTGTAACAAGGAGAGAGAGGGCATAGCCTTCCTTGGGAGGGAAACCCTTGGGAGGGAAACATGGGTGTCCCTGGGTGCCGGTTTGTTGCTCCACGGGCCTAGGGAGCTGGGGTTTCCTGGTGTGAATTGTTGTCCTGACTTAGTGGGAGGAAAGTGGTTTCACTCTAGAAGCCAGTAAACTCTGCATTAGCTGCACCTTAAAGAAGTTTTAGAACTATTCAGCACGAAGTCACTTTAATTTAAGCTCTTTGGTCCTTATATCAGAACCATATCACTACGGAAAAATTGCACTTTATGCTTTTTTACTCTGGGTTCCCTTATTAATTGGAGTAAGCTTATTATTGTTAACATCGATATATTATTGTTACCCTTATGTCAATGCTTGCTCTGCCTTTACTGCTATCCCTCCAACCTCTAGCACAAGTGCACTTTATAACAATCTTAGCACAAGTGCACTTTGTTCCAGCTTCAGCACGAGTGCACTTTACAGTCCTCGATATACTAGAGGGAATGGTCAACATTAAGGGATGGAATCACCGGGACCCAGAGACAGATAACAATAATGGTAAGCATGTGCCTATTAATGAGATTACAGCTGCTGGAAATGAAGGGAATATCCCCGGGGGGGTTGGGACCGTGGGTGGGGGAGCCGCCATAGAGGTGGTGACTGGTAGGGGGAGATACGGGAAAGGGAGAATAAAATTTCCATTTCGGCCCAAAATTTACAGCAATAAATTGGCTATTCCTAAAGATGCTAGAAATCAAAGACAAAAGCAAATTCGGCCCAAAATCATTAATAGGACATTGGCAATTCCAAAAATCAACACTACTATTCGGCCCGAAAGTAACAAAAATAGATTGGCAATTCCAAAACCTACTCCCAACAAAATACAACTGAGGTGCCAAGATGGTGGCCCCTCCAGGCTAAAGGTGGTGCTGTTAAGTCATGGAACGTGTGGTGGCAACACAACTCCAGGGGTTTCTGGTAGACACTGATTATCTTGATCCGGCACAGTCTGGTTTTAGGCCGGGACATGGAACTGAGACAGCCTTGGTCGCCTTGGTAGATGATCTGCGCAGGGAACTAGACAGGGGGAGTGT